CACAACATTTTCCCTGTGGGATAGGCAGAATTAATTTTGGGAACAAGAAGCTGCCAGACTCTGAAAGGAATCCCCCATTTGCTGGTGTTCGCAACCTAAAGATGCAACAAAACAAAACAACGAGGGGAAAAAAAAAAAAAAAAAAAAGGAATAAGAAAAGTAGCAACAGCATTAGGGAGCAAAAATGGGATTTTAAAGGGAGTCAGAGCAGGTTTCCCTTTGTTTGGGAAAACTTTTCCAGGGCAGATTTTCCAGGACAGCTCTCCCAGCAGGAGGCAGGCCCCAGCACCTCCGGTGTTTGCCTCACCTTGGCCATGAGGAAAAGCTTTCTGTCCGTTACATCCACGCATCTCATCAGGGACCGTGCCTTTTGTCACACTCCCAGGCACCATCTGTGTGCTCCCAAGTGGCCAGACGAGGGCTAAACCCCCACCCCGGTGGGATTAATCTGCAATTTCACACCAAATGATTTTTAAGGATAATTTGTTAGGATACAGTATCCCGAAATAAAACAAACGGTCGGTGCTTTTGCAGGGGGATAAAAGGAGGGAGCTTGTGGAGTTTCCTGTTTCCAGTGGCTTGGACAGAATCCATTTGCACATTTTTATTCCCGTATGAATGCACAAATCCTGGGAAAAGAGCCTGTGGGTAATGGGAAGAGCTGCTTTTGATTTTGGGGGTGAGGATAGAACCCCAGATCTGGGCACTGAAAAGGGGATGCAGCGTAACCAAATCCCCATCTCCATCAGGGACCGAGAATCTGAGCCTTATCTGAATATAAGATCTTAATATATTAAATCTGAATCTTATTTCAGTTCTCCAGAAGTGCCTGATAAAGGCATTGATTCATAGAAGTATTGATTAATCTCCACTTCTATTGAGAGCAATTAACAGAGAGAGATTTGATGCTCATCAAAGTGAACAGTTGCTGTTTAAAATGTGAATAGAATATTTTTACTTCTGTAGGGAGCGGACTGGAAGGATAAATTAAATTTGGTAAATAAAGGAGGAGCTCAAAAACCCAATCTTTCCCATAAAACAAAGCTGGCTTGAAGTGTGCAAGGAAATTATTCCCTTTTAAGAAGCACTAAATGCTTTCAGAGCTGAATTCAGCTGGAGGAGAGAGGTGAAAACCACAACCAGAAAAAAAAGCCAAGTGAGGAGTAGGAAGATCCAGGGTTGGGACACCCCAATGTCCTTTCACATAAAACAACAATGAATAAACATGAAGCTGCTTTTCAGCCATTCTGAACACCACAAAAACCACAGGTCCCAGTCCAAACTGCCTGAGGTGGGGGAAAAATGTTGATTTTCCAGCCTGATGCAGAGGTCACCAAAATCTTCACAGAGTTCTCATCAAACTCTGCTTTTGAAGGTTTCTCAGTGCTTTCTTGCTTTTTTGCTTTTTTTATTTTCCCCTATTTTTCTTCTAAAGCAGTGGAGAGTGTGGAAAATAAACCAAACTTGTTTTATGATGACCTCAGCTGGTAGCAAAATGAATTCAGTTTGTCACCCAAAAGAAATTCCTACAGTTTAAAAGAAAATCTATAGAAATTAAAGATATTTCAGAAGAAATTCATACAAAAGAAAGAGAATGGCTTTGAAAAACAAATCCCTATTTTACTTCTGTTGTTGTATTGCATTGTTTTGTTTACTACAAAGCTGTTAGTCCAAAGAAAGAAGTTAATTGCTGAACAATGTTAATTTAAAGGCTATGTGTGATTTTTCATGCCACCAAATGAATCAGACAGAAATTGGATCAATAGAAAAACCTAATGCACATTTCTCTGCTAATATTCACTGTAAAAAATAACATCAGTTGTGACAGGTGAATTTGAACCCTTCCCTAACTGAGATAAGCATAAATACAAATACAACCAGAAATTGTCCTTATCTCGTGTTCTTGCATTTTAAATCACAGAAGGAAACAGAGCTGAAGGATAACCAGGAGAAAATACACCCCAATATTCCTTTCCATGCCATTCCCATGATGGACAGCATCATTTCTCCAGCCTGACAGGAACTGGTGAGAAAAACAACAAAGGGAAAAACTCAATTTTTTAAAAGTCCAACCATCAGCCTGCAGTTCTGCAGCTCCAGCTTGGAGCTGGCCTGATGGAACATGGAACAGCTGGAGCCCCCTGGGCTGTGGAAGGGACTGAAAGAAGCTGAGTTTTTAAGGTCCCTCCCAACCCAAACTGTTGTTCTGTGACTCCATTAACTCCTCAGTTTTGTCCTGTGCAATCCCAGCACCTCCAAGGGCAGGGACCCAAAACCTCCCCAGTGCCCGTTGCAGTGCTGGACTTCCCCCATTGTGAAAAAGCTCCTTGCACCAATTAACTGGAATTTTCCTTGTTGGAACTTGCTCCTGCAGGTTTTGGACAGCTAAGCCCTTGATCCCTCCCCGTGGCAGGTGAGCAAACGGGGCAGGAGCCGCCCTTGGCTCCTCACCTGCTGCAACCCTGCCCGTCCAAGGCTTGCAAATCACCTGAGAGGGGAAACCAGCTCGGGCAGGGAATGTGTCCCTGCAGGAAAGCAGCCAGGGGAGAAGCTCAGCACAATGTCTTGAACAGGCTCCAAGGAGACCTGGAGGGAACCTTGTGTTTTATCCTCACCCCTCCTGCAAATATTCAGGCACGGGAACTCGTTCTTTAAAGTGTTCTTTGAGTTGCCAGGTAAGGATCTGAGATGACCTTTTAATAAGTTACAGCCCAACGTTAATTAATGCAGCCTGTAATTAGGGGAACCCTTGCAACTGTGCAAACTCCATGCCTGAGGCTCTGTGACTCCTCTTATTTCAGCTCTCCAGAAGTGCCTGATAAAGGCACTGATTCATAGAGGTATTGATTAATCTCCCCTTCTATGACAGCAATTAACAGAGAGAGATTTGATGCTCATCAAAGTGAACAGATTCTCATTAAGAGCAGAAAAAAGGATCTGTCTTCACATTTCATCCCCTCCATACTCTGTGGTAAACTGGCAAGGACAAGGAAATACATTTATCATGGATCTTGTGGGTTTTCCTTGTGCAAGGATATTGGGAGTATTTCCACATTTCAGCTTTGCTGTGCAAAGGACCCAGTGTCATCACAGACTTTAAACTCTTTCCTGACAGAGAAGGTTGGTCCCTGTTTTGATGATGAGTCTATAGGAAATACAATCTGGTCTCAAGAAAAGACCTGGACAGTCCAAGTCAGCATTTCCTGGCGCTGGATCTGTGCTGGTGTGGGATTTGATCTTGGCTCTGATGTTTGATCCATGTCCTCCTGGTCCTTGGAAGTAACACTGCCCCAAATTCATGCCATTATCATCAGACTTCACTCTCTGATGGCTGAACCACGCTTTAAAAGCCTCTGGTGAAAGAGGAGGCAGAATTATGATGCTCAGAATGAATGATTCTCTTTCCAGATTGCTCCAAACCCTGTCCAGCCTGGCTTTGGACACTTCCAGGGATCCAGGGGCAGCCACAGCTTCTCTGGGCATCCTGTGCCAGGGCCTCAGCATTCTCCCATCCTCATCCCTTCCATCCTCATCCCTTCCATCCTCATCCCGCACCTCCCGTAGCGCTGAGGCTCAGGCCGGGCGCTGCCTGCCCGGGGCTGTCCCGGCTCCGTTCCCGCGGCCATCCCGGCACCGGGGACAGCCGGGGACACCGGGGACACCGGGGACACGCGGCTCCGGCCTCTGCCTCCGCTCCGATTCCCGCGGCGCCGAGCGGGGCACCGGGTACCGAGCATCCGCTGAGCATCGGGCACCGAGCACCGGTACCGGGCACCGCGTACCGGGCACTGAGCACCGGTACCGGGCACCGCGCGTTGAGCACCGACTCCCCCGAGCCGCCCCCCCGCCCCAGCTCCGCTCTCCTCCCGCCGGTGCCCGTTTGAGCGGGCGGATCCCTCCCCCTCCTCCCTGCGGAAAGTTGCACAAAGTTCGGTCAATCCGGGCTTTTCCCCCTTTCCCATTCGCCGCTCTCCGCTGGGACGCGCTGCCCGCCCGCGCTGCCCGGTGCGGCGGGGCGGGGGCACCGGGGGCGGGGGCGGCTCTGCCCGGCCCTGCCCCGGCGCTGACCCCGGGCCGGGCCGCGCATGCTCGGGGCTGGACAGCTCCGGAGAGGGAAATTTAAACCGGGGCCGGAGCGCGGCCCCGCCGCCGGCCCCGCGCACCGAGCGCCCGCCGAGCTCCGGGCGGCCCCGGGGCCCCGCCCGACAGGTTGGTGCACGGAGCGGCGGCAGCGCCGGGCGGGGATGGGGGGACGGGGATGGGGACCCCCGGGCTCCCTCCATGCCGGGGCAGCAGGGATGGGGACCCCCGGGTTCCCTGCATCCATCCATGCCCGGGGCAGCGGGGTGGGAATGCCGGGGTTCGCTCCAAACTGAGGCACCCAGGGCTCGTCCATCCCCGGGTTTGGGGTGTCCCCCTGATCCCCCCTTCCCGAGGCTGCGGGTCTGGGGTTTTTCCGGGCTCGCTCCATCCCCGTGGGTGCGGGGCTGGGGTTCTCCCCGGCTCCCTCCATCCCTGGGGCAGCGGTTTGGGGATTCTCCCGGATTTGGGATTCCCCTTCCATCCGCGGCGCTGGGAGCCACCAGGCTCCCTCCATCCCTGGGCAGCGGCGCTGGGATTCCCCCGGCCTCCCCTTCCAGGGCTGGGCTTCCAGGGCTGGGGTCTCCCCTCATCCCCGCGCCCCGGCCGCTGCAGCTCCTGCAGCTTTTTCACCCAAAATGCGACGGATGCTGTTCGGGGGATAAGAGCGGCTGGCTCGGGGCTCCCGGTCCCCTCAGCCCTGTGGGTCGCCGTCCCTCCCTCAGGGGTCCCTCTCTGGGCTGGGATCATCCCCGGGAAGTGTTTTCCTGCCTTTCCCGGTGCCAGCAGCGCACCTGGCGGTGCCGGTGCCCGGGCCGGGCCCGGTGCCGGGGCTCGGGCGGGGTCGGTGGCTCCCGCCGCTGCTGAAGTGCTGGATAGCTACTGCTGCTGACCGCTGCCTTCTGCTGCTTCCCCAGGAGATGATAGAGAGCGATATCCCGTCCATAATGTCAGGAATCATTAGGAATTCAGGGCAAAACCACCACCCCTCGCAGGAGTACAGGTGAGGTTTGATCCGTCTCAAAAACGTGCACTGCACTGGCACAGCTGCCAACTCCTGCTGCTTCCTCCTTGCTTCCTAAAAAATCCTTTTAGTACGTAGAAATCCACTTTTCTTCTTCTTCTTTATTTTTTTTTAAGCTATCTGAATTATTTCTCCTCTCTCAATAAGATTTGTAAAGCTGATGACCAGTTACAATGCATTCCTTATTTAAAAACATTCCTGTTTAAAGTATTCACATTGGTGGGATTTGGATGAAGGCTGGACTTGATAATCTTGGAGGTCTTTTACATCCATAACCATTCTGTCATTCTGTGATTCTCTGATTTTGATACTAACCTATATTTGATAAATACACCTCCAAAACCTTGGGCTGACCTCTCTCTAAATTCTCTGTCCTGTGTGAGCCTTGCCACAGAAGGAGATTCTTGTTAAAATATAATAATTTAAAAGTTCCCTTGCAGATCACTTTTTTGCATTGTTGTGGAGCAGTCATGGAGAGACTAAACAAGAGACACTGGAGGAGTTTTTAATTAAAACAAGCACTTGTGTAGCCCTCCAAAGCACTGACAACCTGTCAAAGGGCTTTTAATATGGACGGGAACAAACCTGGCTTTGCCAAGAGCCTTTCGTGATTTAATTTACCTGCACCACCGTGCTTCCATTTATCATTTCCAAGCATTGTTGGAGGTTACAGGAGGGTTCTGCATGAGTTACAGAGCCCTGGGTTATGTTAGGTTACATTTTGTCACATGATGCAAAGCTCCAACAAATACAGAGCACACACAACACGTCCCAGTTCTCACAACAAAACAGAAAGCAAACCAGAAGAAAATTAATTCCTTTTTAAAAAAAAAAAATATATATAAAATGAGCATTGAGAGACTCCTTCCTCCCAGCCTGAGGGGTTTGCAACCTCTCCTGGGGCTGCTGCAGGTATTCTTCTCCTGGCCTCTCTCTATTCAAAATGCACAGGCTGCAGCTCAGCCTCTTGCAGCTCAACAAGGGATTTGTTTTAGTCCCTGCAGCCTCTGGGGAAAAGGTTTGTGCCTCTGCTTTTGCTCTGCACCGAGGCACTGTTTGCTCGGGGCATTTTTCTTGGCTACGTAAATATTGGTGAAGAAATTATTGGGGATTTAAGGAAGGGTGTGGGTGAGAGGGACTTCTGGGGACGTGGATTTAAGGCTGGATCTTCAGTGCCCTGCAGAATTCACCACCTTAACAAAGCCCCTTTTTAAAGGAGGGAACTGTTCTTGAACTCAGAGCTGCAGGAAAAAAAAAAGGCTTTTTGGGGGAGAAAGATAGGATTTCTCTTACTGCAGTAAAAAAAAATCATAACTTTCTTCTTTTCCTCTTTTTAAAAACCAGCTTTGGGTCCTCTGTGAAACGTTTTGAACTCAGTTCCCTAAAGTTTTTCACCCACTTGTGATTTTTTTTTACCACGGCTTTAAAACGAATTATTCGACCTGGTTTAATAGTGGCAAATTCTGATAAAAATGCATAAAATCTGAACTGCACCATAAATGCAGAGCAGTATTTGTCCTACTTCATGAGAAAACACTTTGGATTATGTAAAAGAAAATCTTTTAGACTGAATGATTTTAAGAAAAGAATAGACCTGTCAAATTCTATCAGCTCTGTTTACTCTCCTGCTGTCACCACAGTCCAAGACTGGAACCCACAGTCCTGAGTTCTCCATGGGGGAGCATCAAGGCTCCACAAAATGGGGAATGGCCTCCAATTAGCGAGAGGGAGGCTGGGGCTGTGCTGAGAATACTCTTGTGTCTCATTTGGAATCTTTCAATGGGACAGTTGGACTTGGAGGAGCCCCGGCTCCGCTGGGAAGGGAGGGGATCAAACCCCCAGCCACCCATCAGTTTGCAGGCAGATTATGCTTGCAGCTGGAAAACTTGGGATTTTGCAACTTTTAACATTTTTTTTAATTTTTTTTTTTTTTTTTTGGTAAAAGGAATGTGGCAAAAATCTGATTTTAGCAGATCTTTGAACCATGCAGCTCCAAAGCAGCTGCAGTAAATTTGCTGTGGCTCGGGGTGGTGGTGAGGTTTTAGCTGCTGTGTGAAATCCCAGGACTTTTTGCACCCCAGTAAAATGATTTTAGGCAAACATCTCTCCCAGCAGAGCAGCTCTGGGATATAAAACAGCACGGGGATGATTAAGGGCCATCAGAGCTTCTCCACTGCCTGTTTTTATGGTGCTGTCACTGCCTGGCTGCAATGCAAAGTAATTCGTTATTTTAGCAGGAAACTTTATTTTAGTAGGAAACTCTCTTAGTTTCCTACAGAAAATGCCACCATATTCAATATATTTACCCTTGCAGAGCTGACAAATATTTCTAATAATTCCATATCACATTTAAGGGAATGAAAATAGAGAGTTGTAACACACCAAGATTTTTTAACCCTTAGCACTTCATCCTTGTTAATCATAATTAATAATTAACATGTTTTAGTGCCACTACTTTGATTTTTAAATCACAGCACAGGCAGACCACGAGTTTTCTATGCAGTGGGGGGTCATGGTAGCTCCAGCACAAAGCTGTGCCAATTATAGGAGCCAGCTCCAGGCTTTTCCATGGGGTTTATGGGCTGTTTCCTGGGAATGCAGGTTCGTCAGCTCCTGGGTGCTGTGGCCTTCAAGCAACATTTTGAATTGAAATATGGAATCTGTCATTTTGAGTTTAAGATCTGATCCAACAATATTTGGTGTGAGGACCACATTTCTATGTTTTTGTTTTATTATGTATTTCCAGTTGACAGAAGCCTTGTGGAGAATTCTGAAGGCCTTGCAATGCATTTTCTATATGTTAAATGGGAATTAAGCTTTAAATTTTTGATCAAAAGGTGTTAATCATTAATAATTCAATATATTAGTAGATTATATTGTCCTTTACCCCATTTTAATTATCTCTTTGATTCTTAAAAAATTGTCTACATTCTACAAAAATCCATTACATTACCTCATTAGTCTGATCAATTTTTTCCTTCATTATTTTATGTTGCCATAGTTTAGTGTAAAATCAGATTAAGAAGCGCAGAACTGCTGTACTCCATAAATTCCACATGTGACAGCATTCCAGTGTGGAAAAAGATGGCAAATCTCGAATTTGAGCACATTCGTTGTCCTCTCATGTTTGGGGTTTCTGGAGAGGAAGTGACACCTCTGTCCCCTGGGATGGACGGACGGATGGATGGACGGATGGATGGACGGATGGATGGACGGATGGATGGATGGATGGGATGGGAGTGTGCACACAAAAGGTTGCAAATGCATCACTAACAACACCCTAATTGTTCCTGGAGAAAACGCCAGTGTCCATTCCTGTGACACTCCCGTGCTGTCTGATGGGCAGTGAGATAATGACTCCGAGTGCCCCAGGAATTCCAGCACGGGAGTGGCTTCATTCTTTCCAAAAAAAAAAAAAGAAAAAAAAAAAAAAGAAGTGAGAAACCTCCAAGGAATCAGTCAAACTGGATTGATTTAAGTGGATTAGCACAACTGTTTCCTCAGCACTCCTGAAATGTGCTGATCTGGAGGAATAAAATTTGTGGCCTTTTGCTTCTGCCGGAGCCGGAGGGGCTGGTTTGGGGCAGCACCTCGGGGTCCTGTGAGAGCAGAAGGGGCTCATCCCGTACCTCAGAAAGGCCAAAACAGGGAAAGAGGAAGGGAATTGGGATTTTTCCAGCATTCCTGGGGGATCCCAGAGGCTCATGTGCAGGAAGAGGAGCTGCTGCAGGCCCAGAGGCTGAGGCGGTTCTCAGAGTCCTGCCCAGGGACAGGCTGTAGAGCTGATATCCCCTCCACACTGCTCTGACACCTACACAAGGCTCCAGTGCTAATGAACAGCAATTCCCAAGGAAAAAGCAGCTTCCCAGTCTGACCATGGTCCTGGTTTTAATCTAAAACATCCCTTCAGTGCCTGGTGCTTCAGCACGTTTTGCTTGTTCTGACGTCGATCAAAGGGCTGATTTTTGAGTGGTTTGGTTCGAGATTTTTTCCCAAACAGGTTCCAGAGTCAGATCCCAGCTGTATTTGGCAAATCCCAGCCTAGGGATGGTTAGGGCAGAGCAGGGAATGAGTGGCTGGGGGTGCAGTGCTGCTATCACTCATTTCCTCTTGTGTTTAAGCACTACACCTTTCACTGTAATTCAGTTTTCCACTGATCCCACAGCAAAGTGGTGTAATGGGGGTTGTGAAATGGGGAGCTGGGATGGATAAAAGGCTCCAGGAGTGCAGCTGTAGCCTGTTCTTAGTGCCAAGTACCTTTGCAGGAGATTTTCAGAGGGTCCAGCATGGAGCGAGGAAAGGAGACCATCACCACCTGCCAGGTTCATGATGATATTTGCTTTTTCCTCACTAGTTTTTGTTCTGATAATACAATGTTTCTTGAGTTATAGATAAGGAGGGACCCTCTTAAAGCTTAATTTCTGTTCTGATTTCCAGCAAGGCCAGAAATAGCTCAGAGATCTTGAAGACAGAGAGAGGGGTGGGACTGGGTGTGTGTTGTGCCTTCAGGGAGGAATCAGAGACCAAAAACTCTGGGAGCTGCTGGTAAAGCAGGAGAGGAGCTGGGGCAGAATCAAGTTGGAAGAGGCAGCTGCTTGTGAGTGTGGAAAGCAGAAAATAGTGGGAGGAAAAGCAGCTGGGAGGCAGGAAAATGGAGGGGAAGGGCTTAAAGGGAAGGAGCAGAGCAGCTGGAATGAGGAGCTGAAGGAGATAGGGAAGGTGAATCCTTCAGTAAAACAGAGGACACTTCACCATGGACACAGCTGGAGAGTCACAATACAAATCTTTTCCTTGTCTTGCACATAAGAACTCCCTGTGCTTGCCCTGAGGGTTTTGTGTAATCCCAGACAAAGGAAAACACCACTTCTAGAAGAGGTTTCCTTTGGATTCTTCCTGTCCAGTTGTCTCTGACTGGATAAACCATTGCAAAGAGTTAATTAACAACTCATCACCCAGTTGCTCCTGCCTGTTGAGCAGTTTTGGCACCTAAGCCTGGGCTAAAATTTCAGGTGGCAGTGCTGAAAATGGGAAAAAACCCTGTCCACTGAGTGAGACTCAAAACCCTGGAATATCCCAAATGCAGCTGAGGGGTTTTGGCCTGGCTGTGTTTCAGGTGGAGGTGATGAGTTGTTGAGATGATCCTTACGGTCTCCAGGCCTGAGTTCACCATCCTATGCAATGTGGAGGTGGATAATTCATGGATAATTCCCCTGGCAGTGGTTCCCAAGGGGAGGAACCGCCCTGAGCTCAGCCTGAGGGAAGGTGGCAAAGCCCCACTGGTGAGTTCAGGCTCAGATCCAGCTCTGGTGTTAAACTCCTGCAAGGCCAGGCCAGGAATGACTCCCAATTCCACCTTGTGCCAGCAGGATGCCCTTGATGGTGGGGAGAAAAAGGTGAAAATACCTTTAGGTAGCTGTGAGTGAGGGTTTTGTGCTGCTGGCAGGCTCTGGTGAGCTTTGCCACGATCAGATCTGGAAAGGGGTCTCATTCCGAGGTGCTCCTGATCCAATTACGCTGATGGGATAAATATTTTGGGCAGATAACTCCAGAGCAGATTGTAAAGACTAACAGTGCCAAGGAGCATTTCTGTATCACACCCGGTGTTCCAGGCACTTTTCCCAGGATCAGCATCCTGGGATACACGTGAGAACTGGGCTTTAAACCCTCAGCACCCTCTGGATTCTCATCCTTGCAGGTGCCTCTCTAGGAGAGAAACAGAAGCACGGGATATTTTACTGCAGACAGTTGAAAGCAGAGGGGTAAAAGTGGAGTTGCATCATTTTACACACACTGAAAAAAACAACACCACGTTTGCAACACCTCTGGTGGGGCTGCAGCCTCTCCCTCCTGGGCTTCAGTGACTGTTCCAGGAGTCCTGGGAATGAGCAGGGGAGGCTCAGCAGTGCATTAATTACAGCCTATCACTATTTATCTCATTTACATGCACTGAAAGGCTGCTTTTACCACAGTGCCCCATTGTGCCAGGGGCTGTGAACACCCAGCCAAAGGCAGGGCCTCTGACTCCTGGAGTTTGTCCTCCTGGAATTTATCCTCCTGGAGTCTATCCTCGTGGAGTTTGTCCTTCTGGATTTTATACTCCTGGGGTTTATCCTCCAAAGTGAGATGAGGTGGGGAACTGAATCCAATCCCACCTGGTATTCCAACTTATGGATCTGCAGCTGTCTCGGCACAGGCAATTCTCAGGTCAGAAAGATTGGACCCCAGGAGATGACAGTGTTGGTTATTGCTGTGCTTGGCTCTCTCTTTTTTTGCAGTTAAATTAGAATTTCTTCACTGGAAGCAGGGCACACATTGAGCCTGTGGCCTGGAACATGTGCTGGGTTTATGCTACAGAATATCCCCAGACTTTTAAAACTCCTCAGCCAGGCAGCAATGGGAATTCTTTAAAATTTCACATTCTTTAAGACATGAGAGATCTCAACATTGGTTTTGAAGGCAGCCTGAAGAATAATCCTTAAGCTTGAAATCAAATTATCAAATAATGGAGTTACAAAATCATCAAATCATGGAATCACAGAATCCCAGAATGGTTTGGGTTGGAATGGGCCTTAAATATCTTGTTTCAACCCTCTGCCACGGGCAGGGATGTAATTCTGATTGAATTTGCTTTTTCCTTCATTTTTAACAGGATGTTAATCTGATAACTAGCAAATCCATTAAAAAAAAAAAAAAACGCAGTGAACAGGCTGAGGTGGTTTTAAAAGAACTGGGGAAGGGAAGGGAAGGGAAGGGAAGGGAAGGGAAGGGAAGGGAAGGGAAGGGAAGGGAAGGGAGACCATTGACTTGGAGAAAGAGCTGTCTTGCACGCTTCTCTAGTTACTAAATACTCTTACATCTTCATATCCACTTAAAACAGAGCCTCATACGGCAACAACAATTTCCCAGCCGACACCAGAGCCTTTCCTCGCCCCTCTCCGTGTGCCTGGCGCGGATGCTGAGCGGGACACGCTGTCCCACCTCCCCAGGGCTGGGAGCATCCCGGGTGAGGGCCGGGCAGGAGCCGCGGCTGGCCGGGAATGCGGCCCGGCAGGGCTGATCCAGCCCGGGGGAAGGGCTGATCCCGCAGATTCTCCGCGATGCGCAGCGCTGACCCCGTTAGTGCCGGCGGGGCGCGGGGTGCCAGATGGCGAGGGGACGTGTGTTGTGTGTCGCCTGTCACTCGGGGCAGATTAATGGGAGGTTTGTAAAGAGGGAGCGGGTGGGGGGGGGTGGGACAATTAAGCGGGGTCCCCAAAGACAAAGGGGACACGTGCCGCGGGCGGCGGGCGTTGGGCGCACAAAGGGCCCGCGGCTCCCCCTGCGCCGAACCAACTGTTGCGAACGACCCCCGAGCCTGCCCCGTTTTCAAATAATTTCATGCCCCTGTTTTCTTCCAATCCAGCCAATCTCCGAGCCGGGAGAGCCGTCACCTGATGGGGTTTGCTTTTTTTTTTGGGTTTGTTTTTTTTTTTTTTTTTAATGGATGGAAGTCCCCAAGCCTGGCGAAATAACGGCGTAACCATGGCAATGCTAATTATTGCCCTATAACTACAGTAGGAGAGAGAACGCGGGGTAGGCTGAGAGGGAGATTTGAAGAGGGTTTTTTTTTTTTTTTGCCTTTGGCTCTTGGTCCCGTGTTGATTCTTTTCCCCCCCTTTTCTCCTATACAAAATCTTTTTGCAAACAAGTGGCGTTTTGCTTTAAAGATCTCCCCGACAGTGGTTCAGGGAGCCTTGAAAGGTGTTTCTGGAATTCCTGAATAGAGGAGCTGAAAGCTCCAGGGCAGGCAGGCACTGGAGTTCTGCCTTGCTCTTTTAAGCTGATTTAGAGTCGTGTAAAACATAAAAGATGCTTCAGCAAGAGACCAGATTTATTTAAGGTTCCTGCAGCATCATTTGGCAGCAAACACGCATCAGCAGCAGACACCACTTTAACACATCTCTGAGAGCTCTTGAAAGCAAAAGGGTTTGAAAGCAAAATCAGCTGCATCCAACTAAATTACGTTCTTCTGAGAGATAAAGATGTTTTCCTGGATCTGAATCCCTTTAGGTTTACCCTGGGTGTCGAGTGACAACTTCCTGACATGTCCTAATTACTGCTTTACTCCTCAAGGTACCGGTGACTCCTGTAATACTGTTCCACATAAATTAATTAATTTAGCCTTTCATTTGCAAGAGTTCTCTTATCAACTTTAACGGGGATTTGGACCACACAGGAATTTTTGAGTACTGTAAACATATTCCAATATTCCTGTTTTGTACCACGTGCTCCATCAGAAGCAAAGCAAAACGGGTGATCTGGAGCATGTAAAAGGTGTCAAAAGCAGAGCTTTAAACCAAAAGCAGCCTGTCACAGCTGTGCCTGCTGTTGTTGCTGGTGCCTGGCAGATATGGTGCCAAAACATCTCAAACCTTTCATTCTGGTCCTTTGCTCTGTCAAAAACTGCCTAAAAATTGGTTTTTTAAGTACCAATAACTTCATGTATCTGAATGGAAGATATCAGCAGTTCAGCCTGTGGAGTTCTTTTTGTGCAACTGCTGATCTGTCACTACTGACAGGATCCAGGGGCTGGGAAAAGTTTTTCCAGGTGTTCCAGCAGCAGCAGCAGCACACACGTTCCCCAGGAGCTGGGCACAGAGCTCCTCCCAAGGCTCTGGATTGCAGGGTTAATGCAGAATGATCAGGTTCTAAGTCCTGGTTTCTCCCCCATCAAAGCCAAACAAGTGCAAATTTCTGACAGATGTGAAAATAAGGAATCAGTGTGGGTTTGTTTCCAGGCAGTTTCTCTGCTGGGTTCCTGGGCCTGCTTCCCCTACAAATGCTCCACAAGAGGTTTTCTCAACCAAAATGTTCCAGACTGGACAAAGGAACACAAGACCAGGTAAAGGGTGTCAGTAACCAGCTGTGAAACCACAGGGCACATCTGGATTTGGATACAGAATTCCAGCCTGGTGGTTCTTCCCCTTGACCTGCAGGAGCTTTGGCACCCATCCATCTCTTTCCAGGGACAATGCAGCAATTCCTGCTCCCTGTTAACCTTCCCTGCTGCTTTGCAGGCTCCTGGCCTCAGACCCATCCCAGCTGAGTGAGGATGAGCTCCCAGGGGATTTGCAGTCCCTGTCTTGGCTGACATCCGTGGATGTGCCTCGGCTCCAGCAGATGGCCAGTGGGAGAATGGATTTCAGCCTGGGGGCCCCGAGTGCCCTGCTCCAGCAGACAGGTACTGTGGGATGGGACATGGGGATAACTGCTCCTTGAACAGCACAGCCTGCCCCTGACACCCCCCCTCAGGCTCCCTTTTCCTATCCTTTTACATTTTGCTTCCTGTCCAAGGACCTGGAGCCTGTTGGCTTCTCTTGAGGGCTCTGCTGGTGCCTTCCCCCATTCCAAGAGGGAGAGAGCTCCAGCACTGGTAACACTCAGATCCCACGGGAATTTCTGCTCAGTGCAGCTGCTGGTGCCCTGTTGGGCTGAGGTATTTTAAGTCCTGGCTTTCAGAGGTTTTCAACACCTCTGAAACGAGATAATTAATCTTTTTTGCTTTGTTTCAATGCTGATAAAGCAAAGGGCACCTCATTTACCTCACGCCTCTTTGCTTCTTGCAGCCTTGCAGCGTGTGTTGGTCAAACTCCTTTCTTTCCCTTGTGAACATTCTTTAGGTAAATACACATCACAGAGCTCAGAGTGTCACCCTGCCTGCCTGAGAGCACAAATCCAGCTGATGCTGAATGTGTTGCTTCTCTTTTGTAAGACACAGTGTCTGTGTCACCACCGTGGGCTGTTAAACAGCTGCCGCCTCTCATTCCCTGCCTAACGAGTTTTGGGAGCAGCTGATGTCGTCTGGGCAAGCTGTGAAAAGCCAGAGAGGTTGGATTCTCCACTCCAGAGCTTCCCTGTACTCAGCTGCATCCATTAACCCCCTTCCTTCCTTCCTTCCCTGAGCTGTGCTTCCATGGGAGCATCCCTTGCCTTCCTCTCTCCGCGCCAGGTGCTGTGGGGAACGCGATGCACTCGACGCCCGGAGCGATGATCCACGTCCAGGCCAGCCTCCCCCAGGGGATCCTGGGCCTCAATTCCATTTCCACACATGGAGCCAATGTAAGAGCAGGCCCTGGTGGCTCGTTATTGCCCCAGCTCCTTGGATAAGGTGGTGGAATTCCTTGACTGTTGTGTTTCTCTCGGCAGATGAGCCCCTACGCCGTGGGTGGGCAGCTGTCCCCTGGTTTGCAAACACAGCAGCAGCTCTTCCCTCCTCCTCCTCCTCATCCTCCTCCTCATCCTCCTCCTCCTCACTCCCAGCAGGTGTTTGCCCTGGCCCAGAACCCCCAGCAGGTACTGGTATGTGCTTGTTGTCTGTCTTGAAGTTCCTGCCAAGATCAAACCTAGATGTCTTTTAATAGAAAACCAAAATAAACCCACACACCCACTGGACATTTTGCATCTGTCACTTCCCTTCTTTTCCCTGTGCACACAGTGTAACCCAGCAGCAATCTACAACACATCCTATGGGACACAGCCACACTATTCCCAGCCACGCCTGGCTCCCCACTCTGCCCAGGAACTGCACCCAAAGCATTATCCCAAGCCCATCTACTCCTACAGGTGAGTGGGGAGCAGGAGGCACATTGCCTGCAGCCTCTCCTGGGATAGCTGTGACACTGCAGGGGTGTCTGAGTCCTTTGGGAGGGAACAAAAATCCCCTCATCCATGCAGGAGTTGCGTGGAAGCTGCCTCTGAGGGGTAGCAGGAGTGAACAAGCAAAGTAATTCCTGGAGAGCAGTGAGAGAGTAACAGCACAGAGGAGTAAAATTTGAGGATCATGGGGAAGTGGTCACAGCACCAGGCCTGGCAGAGCCCAAGAAGAAGAGTTTGGACAATCCTTTTGGGAATGTGGTGTGACTCCTGGGGATGGTGCTGTGCAGAGCCAGGAGCTGGACTCAGTGATCTTTGTGGGTCCCTTCTAAATCAGCTCATCCTGTGATTCTGTGACTTCTGAGCCCTTGGGAACAGAAATCCCAGGATCCCACTGTCTGTGTCTGAAGAGGTGGGTCCAAGGTTGCTAGACCAGAAGGAGGTATGGAGTGACAGGACAAGAGGAGTGAGTTCCCACTGCCAGAGGCAGGGTTAGATGGGATATTGGGAAGGAATTCCGCTGTGGAAGTGCCCAAGGCCAGGCTGGACATGACTTGGAGCAACCTGGGCTAGTGGAAGGTGGCAGGGGGTGGAACTGGATGAGCTTTAAGGTCCCTTCCCACCCAAGCCATTCCATGATTCCAAGCCATTCCTGGGTTTCCTGCCCGCAGCTGTTTGATTGCCATGGCGCTGAAGAACAGCAAGACTGGGAGCCTGCCCGTGAGTGAGATCTACAGCTTCATGAAGGAGCACTTCCCCTACTTCAAGGTACCTGGGCATTCCCCAGCTTGGAAATGCCACATCCCAGCCCCCTTTGCCCCGTGGTGTGGTGTTGTTGGGTCCCCAGGACGAGGTGAGAGATGAGAATTTGACTCCAAGTTCTCAGAAGGCTGATATGATATGATATTTATTATATATTAAAAGTAATGATAGACTAAAACTATACTAAAGAAAGAGAAAGGATACATGAGAAGGTTAGACAAGAATGACAATAAAATCCCATGACTGACCAGAGAGTCTGACACAGCTGGACTGAGATTGGTCATTAAGTAAAAACAATTCACATGGAACCAATCAAAGATGCACCTGCCACATTCCAAAGCAGCAAAACACAGGGAGAGGCGATCAGATAATTATCGTTTACATTTCCTTTCTGAGGCTTCTCAGCTTCTCGGGAGAAAAAACCCCGGCAAAGGGATTTTTTCAGGAAATATCATAGTGACACCTGTGGGCTGCTCCCATTAACCCCTTCCTGCCACTTGCAGACTGCCCCTGATGGGTGGAAGAATTCCGTGCGCCACAACCTGTCCCTGAACAAGTGCTTTGAGAAGGTGGAGAACAAACTGAGCGGGACCTCCCGCAAGGGCTGCCTGTGGGCCCTCAACCCCGCCAAGATCGACAAGATGGAGGAGGAGATGCAGAAGTGGAAGAGGAAGGATTTGGCTGCTATTCACAGGAGCATGGCTAACCCAGGTAGGGCCGACATTCCCCGTCCTGCACATCCGTGGCATTCCCTGCGTGGCTCTGCTGCCTCCAGGGTTACTGTTTGGGGGAATATTTTAATATTGAGTCATATTTAATGCACTTTTCAAAGAGAAGCACTTTAATGCTGTTTCTTGCCTGTTCTTCTGCAAAACTCTCCCTTTTCTAAGACATTTTCTTATTTATAAAATAGAATTTAGTATTATTTATACTGTAATATTATAAACATTATGTAGCTATATCTATTATCTATATTATCTAATATATAGATATATATCTAATATATATCTACCAATAAAATATTATATTATATTATATTATATTATATTATATTATATTATATTATATTATATTATATATTATACTTATAAAATCTATATTATCTATGTCTATATCTATAGATATATATTATATATCATATTCTCTATAATATATTTATTATTTAAATCTTATTTATTTATCAATCCCCCCCTTATTTATGACGTTTACTATTTATAAAGAAACACGTTTTCGAAGCTTTCAGGAGGTCAGTATTGACAAAATCAACTGGAATTTTTTTGCTACAAAATCAGTAACATGCAGTCAGTGATAAATTACACATTATTTGTTTAAAAGCAAAAGGGCCACTGCAACAGTCAGGAGTTTTTTGTAGTTATTTGGGAGATAATCAGAATTTTTTTGTACTTACAGATAAGCAGAATTCTGAGCGTTTCTCTGACCACAGAGTTCTGCAGCTGGGGCTGAGCTGCCATCAGGGGTGGCTGGGCTGCTCTGCAGTTTCATGATCATTTCTTTAGCTCAGTCAGGGATAACCATGGAAGTTATCCCTGACCGAGCTAAAGAAATGATCCTGAAAGCTAAAGAAATGATCCTTGGGGTAGGAATTAGGTGACGTTTCTTTGCTCCCTGCACAGTCACAGCCTGTGCTGGGTCTCACACTGTGACAATCAGTTCACGCCGTGAACGCAGCTGTTCTTTGGGCAGTCCCTGCTTGAACAAACGTGTTAAAGCATCTCTTTTCCTCCTTGGAATGGGCAGAGGAGCTGGACAAGCTGATCACCGACAGACCCGAGAGCTGCAGGCGGCCCAACAAGCAGGCAGAGCCCGAGGGGCCCCCCCTGGGCCGGATCCCCGTGTCCCAGCTCCAGCCCCAGCCCATCATGACGCTGTCCCTGCAGCCCCTCCCGCTGCACCACCAGCTCCAGACCCAGGCTCGCCTCGCCCCCAACTCTCCAGCACCTGCACAAACCCCTCCTCTGCACACCCTGCCTGACATGAGCCACAGCCCCCTGCCCCACCACCCCATGGGACGCGCCCCGGACTTCCCCAACGTGGCGCTGGACATGAGCACGGAGGTGGACGCTCTGGATCCCAGCATCATGGATTTCGCACTGCAAGGTACAGGGCAAGGCGCTGGGGCAGCAGAGCTGGGGTTTGTGGATGGGTTAACGCTGAATATCCAGCCAGGATCCTCAGTGGGATGTTCTGGAATGGGGTTGGGTGGTGGCATCTGCAGGGTGACTTCCTGGGTGGCCCTTAGTGGATTTTTGTCCTTGCGCCAGGTGGGACAGCAAAGCACTTTCCTGGCTCCAGTGGGGGGAAGCAGGGGTGTCCAACCAGCTGGATCTGGGACACCACATCTCTCTGCCCCTGGGAAAGCAGAGCTCTGCTTGTGCTTTGGGGTTCTCCTTCTGTGCAAGTAGAACTTCTCTGGTTTGTGGCAATGCCTGACATGGTCCTGGGTAGAGCACAGGTAGAGAGGTGCTGTCTGGAAAGGTCTGGAAGCAGAGGATTTGGGAGATAGACACACTTCCTTCCCAGAAAGATCTGGAATCACAGGAACTGGGGGGGGGAGGATCAGACACCCTTGCTACCCAGAAAGGTCTGGAATCACAAGATTTGGGGGATTAGACATTTGCTGGAGAAAGGTCTGAAATCACAGGATTTGGGGGATCAGACTTGCTTCCCAGAAAGGTCTGGAATCACAGGATTTGGGGGATCAGACTTGCTTCCCAGAAAGGTCTGGAATCACAGGATTTGGGGGATCAGGCACTTGCTGCCCAGAAAGGTCTGGAATCACAGGATTTGGGGGATTAGACACTTGCTGGAGAAAGGTCTGGAATCACAGGATTTGGGGGATCAGACACTTGCTGCCCAGAAAGGTCAGGAATCACAGGATTTGGGGGATCAGACTTGCTGCCCCTTGCACCACCGTGGTCCCACCCTCGAGCAGTGAATGAAGCCCTTTAGCCCCAGCCCCAGGGGACCTGGGGATGTGCTGCTGTGAGCTTGATCCCATCTTTTCCAGGGAACATTTGGGAGGAGATGAAAGATGACAGCTTCAGCCTGGACACCCTGGGCGCCTTCAGCAACTCCCCCCTGCATCTCTCCGACTGCGAGCTGGGCACGCCCGGCCTCACGCCCGTGTCCAGCGGCAGTGACCGCTCCTTCTCCGACCTGCAGGTCACTGGCCTTTACACCACCTACACCACCCTGGACAATGTGGCAGCTGCTCAGTACATGAACCCCCAAGGCAACAAACCCATCCCTCTGCTCTGAGCTTGGCACCGTTCCACGGATCCCGAGGGAACGGTTCTTCCCCGTGGTTAAAATCCGACCGGGAAGCTCTAAGGGCTCGTCCAGCTTTGGGATATGTTGGCTGCTTCCAGCGTGTGAGGCCAAAATAAATCAAGCTGGGACTTGTAAAACCACTTTCCCCCATGGCAAGGGCATGGACATTTGTGTTGTGGGACTGGGGAGCTCTCCAGGAGGACCTGGAAGGCAGCAGGAACTTTCACCGGAATGTAGCTGAGCTAAAAATCACCTGGTTAAGGGAATTAAATTTATTCCACACCGTGGTGGAGCTGCTGTGTCACCACTGCCACAGAAGCCACCACAAGCCAAGGGGCTGGCCAGCCCCAAGTGTGTTGATTGTGCCCCTGGTGTGTCATTTTTTCTTAATTTGCCAAATTGGACAAAGACCTCCCCCAGTTCCTGGAGATGTTTGCACCACTAACACTTTCCTGATGTAACTGTTGTTAATTTATTATTAGGAGGTAGGAAAAAGGAGCAAAACCACTAAAAAAAGGAAAACTCACCTCCCTAGCAGACCACTGTTATATCTAGATTTGTAAAAGTCCTCATCCCTGAAGGAAGTGGTACTACTGAACTATTAAACTGATCACTGGCTAGAGGATTTTAGGAATTATGTCAATTTTTAGGATTTTTTTAAAAAAAATAGATTTATAGTCTTGTGTATTGTGCTTCTGTCTATTCTTGTGCTAGGCAGTATTACTATTTGTAAATTTATTTATATTTATTGTTATGAAAAGAAATTATGTGAACTGAGCACTGTTCAATTTGTATAATGCTGCAGTAACCTTTCTTACAGCCACTAAATTATTCATCATCAGAACCACAACCATCTTATCAGTTTTTACACTACATTTCTTTAATAAGCACTTTTGATACTGTGAAACTCATGCTTTTTAAAAAATTCAGAGACCAAATATTGTCACTGTACCTTTCATAATAGTCTTTGCTAATTAACTAAAAAACCTGATTCTAATGTTGCTTTTAAAAAAAAACTTCAAACCCTGCTTTGTACTTGTTAACATACACTGAAAATAATGTGATGAAACATCTGAAATATGTTGGAATTTAGCATTTAGTCTACTTATACCTCTGTGAGCAAAAAGTGATATTTATATCTTGGGTTTTGTCTGTTCCTGTGCATTCAGAGAATTTCCCGGTGCCGTATCCAGGTGCTCCCAGGCTTTTCTCTCCCACACCCATCCATGGATGAAAGCTGGAGGGTGCAGGATGCTGGATTGGCCCCACAGGGCACTTCCTTGCTTGAAAAATATGAAGATTGGAAACATCTGTGCTTGTATCCTCCTAGTGCATCCCTCCATGGCAACCTCTTCCAAAGGGCACCATGATGCTCCACGTCATAATTTATTGCCCAAGGACAAAATGTGATGAATGATCCTTTGCTGTCACTGGTGTCACCTACAATGTCTTTGCTTTTTTAAATAAACATTTCTTAGCACTATGCCTGGGGCATTCTGGATGTGCTGTGTGGTGCCTGCTCTGGTGTCATGCTGGGTTTTCCCCATGCTTCATTCCCTTTACAGACCCTATGGCCAAGTTGAAGGTGGATCCTTGGCTCAAATCCTCCAGGAGAATAAGAGTTTACAGGTGTTTACTGTAAGAGTTTACAGGTATTTACTGTAAGAGTTTACAGGTATTTACTGTAAGAGTTTACAGGTGTTTACTGTAAGAGTTTACAGGTATTTACTGTAAGAGTTTACAGGTGTTTACTGTAAGAGTTTACAGATATTTACTGTAAGAGTTTACAAGTGTTTACTCTAAGAGTTCTTCCTCTGTGGTGTCACCCTGTTCCTGAAACCCTCTGAAATGCCTGGAAAAGCTCTGGAGTGGGGACAGGGGCTGGCAGGAGGGATGCTCAGAGCTGCCCCACCCCAAACAGGTCCTGTGCCACAGAAAAGGGGCTGCACAGTGCCAGAGACACCAGGCCCTGCTCAGGACAATGACAGAAGGCACAGAGATCAGGGAGTTCTTTGGGAGCTGAGCTCAGTTTATTGCCTGTCAGCAGTGACACCTTCCAGCCAGGAAGGGACCCACAAGACCATTCCCATCCCCATCCCAGGACAGGGAGACCTCCTACAGACTCTGTGGGATCCCCCAACCCCAGGAGGTGTCCAACACCTTCACCCCAGGGCAATACCAGCACTGCACTTGAGCCAGGTGTGCCACCTTCCATTGCCATCCCACCTCCTCCTTTTGAGCCCAAGGTAAATCTGTGCTGGGGAAATGACACACCCAGAGGCACCGGAAAACTTCAAATTTCCCCTCCACGACCGAGATGATCAAAGGCTACCTGAGCAGCAGGGTACAGGTCCCAGCAGGTGACAGCTCCCCCTGGCTCTGCTGCTTCCAAGGAGGAACCAGGTCACTGGGGCAGGAGCACCTGGAGCCATCCTCCCTCCTCTCCATGCTCTGCAGGAGCCAGAAGGGACTCGAGATGGGAGAGAGGCACAGCCAGGTCAGCCAAAGCCTGGTGGATCCTTGGACATTCCCATGGGAGCAGCTCCCAGATTAGCTCACTGAGGTCTTTCCTGGACCATCAGCTACTCATGGCCACATCTACTCTTTGCCCCCTAGGGAGGGGAAGGATGACAGAAATTGCTCCTCACAGTTTATAAAGCATCACTTGGAGGCTGCTTCTCATTTCCTGGTCTTGGTGCCTGGTCAGCTTGAACCCAGCCAGCTGGACACTGGCCCTGGCCAGGGGTCTGTGCCTCCAGCTCTGTCCAGTCTCATGAAACGTGTCTGACCTGGTGCTTGTCTGAAAGACCAAGGGCTGGCAACTAAAACAGGAAAATATTTTGGATTCTTTTTAAAACCAAGTTCTGCACCAGGTCCAGATTCCAGGCTTGGCTCAGGACAAGTTCATCTTCTGCCAATCTGCCCCTCTGGCAGCACTCCCAGTGCCAGAGGGGACTCTGCATGGATGGCAAGACCATCTCCATGGCTTAAAATACTTTTAAAAGCACTGGTGTCCTTTATTTAGGCACATGAGCAAGAGTCCAAGGCTTCAGTTCAAGGGCTGAGGAGCCAGGTGGGCAGGTGAGGTCTGGCTGTGTCCTGGTGCTTCTCCTACCCTGTGGTGATTGCCCAGCTCAGGAGGGATCATCAGTGTCCACCCTGGACAGGAGATGGGCAACCTGGGCCTTCTGTGGGCCGGTGATGTGCTGAGCCATCTGCACGATGCAGTCCATGGTCAGCTCGGGGTTGGCCTGGAGCAAGCTGCAAGGCACAGGGCAGAGAGAGGTTTCCTGAGAGGCTGCAGTGAGAACTGCCTGGTCTCCACCACCTGCTGTTCCCATCCCAGGGACCCCCTTCTCATCCCAGCTCCCACAGGCTCTCACCTCCGGATGTGTTTGAGGATGTAGTCCCGCTTCAGGTACTTGATGTTCTCCCTGATGGCTGACTGGGTGCCATCCTCCTCCTGCATGTGCTTCTCCAGCCACTCCACCACCACCTGGTTGTTGTCCCAGAGGTAGCCCTGGAGAAAGCAGCCCTGTGGGCAGGGGGTTCTGCTGCCTGCACAGCCCAAGCCCTTCCCCTCCTCCTGGAGCCCCAAATCCAGGCCACAGGATTTTTCTTCCCTGACCTGCACCTATTGGCAAACCACTTAAAAAGCAAAAAGCTAAAACATTGTTCCTTAGCAAGTCCTGCTTCCTGAGGCAGGCACAACAACCTGAGTGTCATTTGAGAACAGCTCAAATGCTAAAAACACCATTTTTGCCCTGGGAAGCCCTGTCATGGTAAAAAATATTTATCTGGGGACCATTTTGCCATCGCTGAGCACCAGCACCCAACTGGAGTCACCTGATTTGAAGAGCCAGCCCCAGCCTAGGGCTGCTTCACCGCCCATCCTCACATATTCCCATCACACATTGAAACACTCAAACCTCTGAATGGTGGCAGAGCGAGGTGAGATCCCTCGGGATGCCCTGGCTGTGGAGGTGCCTCAGGAAGCCGGGGCTGGGGGTACCTTCTCAGCTCCCTCCGTCTCCATGAACCAGCGCCGCAGCATGGACTGGATGTGGATGTGGCTGAGCTCGCTGTTGGCCTTCAGCACCTCCCCCTTCACCATCTCCTCCAGCAGCAGCCGCCGCAGCCTCCAGTAGAGGAAGGAGCGGGCGCTCTTCCACTCCAGGATGTCCTGCGGAAAGCGGAGCACAGCCCGGGTTTGCCGGCGGCTGCCGGCTCCCGGCTCCGGCGGGATGGAGGCAGAGGGCAGGGATGTCACAGCGAAGGGACTTTCCCCCCACCTTTGCCTGTCACCTCAGAGCCCCTCCCCGGCGCCCGGCTCACCGTGATGACCCCTTTCTCCTGCATGCGGCCCGGGGTGTCGTGCAGGTCTGCGAAGCGCACGGCCACCTGGTGGTACACGGGCAGCAGCAGCTCCTCCCGCGCCTTCAGCTGCTTCTCCAGCTGCTTGCGCTGCGCCTCCGACAGCTCGGGGGAGCCTGCGGGACACAGCGGGCTGAGCAGCCCCCCGGTGATGCCACCAGGGCGTCGCCTCTGTGCCCCCACATCGGCCACCACGCCCAGTGCCACGGCTCTTTCCTTGGCACACCGACACCACAGCCACACAAGCCATGGCCACAAGGAAGTCACACCACACTCAGTGCTTGCTACATGAGAGGGGAGAGGGCATTTGCCAGGGGGACCACGTTGTAGCAGGCTGGAGGGACATGGGGGAAAGGAACTCTCAATGCAGCAGGAACCAGTTGAATGCAGCCATGGCCATCCTTCATCTCAAAGCATGGGAGAAGACCCCAGCCCCATTTAACCCACAGACAAAGCCCCCAGGAGATACCAGGTGTTCTAAAGTACCACCACATCCTCTCAGCTCCCTCCACAGAAAAGACAAAAAGAGTTTTCCCAGGACACTGGTGGTTGCCACCAAAGCGCTTGAGCCTCATGTTTAACTTACCACCACCAATGTCCACAACCGCAAACCC